GCTGAATACAAGGAATCTGTGTGCCGGACTTTGTGGCTCATCTGCTGGACTTTCTGTAAGTACTGTTAGTACTTCCATTGTCTTCAATGATTAAATCAATACTAATCCATTTTACTTTTTCTTGATCATCATTCCACTGTCAAGATTTATCTTTTTAAAAAATAACATCTCTACTCATGATGACCTTCTTTGTGATGGTATTATATAGCTTGTATCCCATCCTTCTATCGCCATATCCGACAAAGATGTATGTCTTGCTTTTATCATCAAGTTTGGTCTTTCTTGCTGACACGACTAAAAGATTGATGTCTTCTCCCAAGTGCAGGAGTGTCGCAGTAATAAATAACCCAGCAAGACCAGGGTCAAACCATAGGGATGTTGTGCCGTGAATGATTTAAGAATCGGCAACAATGAATCTGATGAAAATGGATGAAGGATGGGTCTGGTTATGTTGTCTTTCTTTTGGTGTTTAGGCTGGATTATAGTATTTTTAAGGTAAATAAAATAGAGGATAGACTAGAGTGATACTTTGATAAGTCGATCTGGACGCCACAAAGATCAATCTGGGATTTTGACGCCACACTCTCTGTGATTGAAGAGTGATAAGTCAGGTAGGGTTCTTCACAAATCAATTTGGAAGAATAACTCTTAATTCTCGGAATTAAGTTCAAATATTGGCCAAAAGTTGTTTATTAGTTCAAATCTTGGCCAAAAGTTGTTTATTACATATTCTGATGCCATATTTATAATGGAACATCCCTCCACACTTAGGAAAATTCAACATGACAGAAATCAAGCCCAAAATAAAATGGTTATAACTTCAACCAGACAAATTACACTAGCACACATTTTCTGACTTTAATTGAAACATAAACAGACCGAATTTAAAATGGCTATAACTTCTTGCACAAAAGTCCAATGCAATCATAGTTGGACAATCTGGAAAGATCACGTTCTGAACTTGAAATCCACCTAGATTAGTCTTGTTTTCACATGCAATGGATGACTTTAAATTCGGGTTCAAATTTATCTACTGTTCTGACGTAAACAACATCAATTCCTTAACTTATTTGCATTATCAACCCAAATTCAAGTAGCCCAGCATCAAAAGAACCATTAAGGGCTCTTCCCATCTTTAAGCTCCAATTGTAGGCAAATAAGCACCCTTGAACCAATTTGAAACTGATTGCTAATTTTTAACTCTGACGCAGCTTCAATCATTCCAATTTGACTCGTCAAGGTCCTTTGTAGTTGTTTCGCTCTCGCTCTTGTCATTGGACCATCTGAATCCTCTTGCATATTCAATTTACCTTTACAAGATGGATTATCATTCCCATGATGTACATCATCAACCCCGGTTTGATAATGATTTATCCTCAAATCATAATCGTCGTCGTCATCCAAGTATGGAGTTAAGTCTTTCACATTAAAAGTAGCTGATACATTGTAATCACCAGGAAGATCTACCTTATACGCATTATCATTCACCTTCTCTATAATCCGAAATGGACCATCAGCTCTTGGCATCAACTTGGGCTTACATTTGCTTGGAAATCTGCCCTTACTAAGATGAATCCAAACAAGATCACCAGGTTCAAACCTAACCATTTTCCGCCCCTTGTTAGCTTGTTTAGCATACTTTGTTGTTTTCTCCTCAATATGTAATCGAACCTGCTCATGTAGTTTCTTTATCAATTCTGCCTTTCTAATTCCATCTATAGATGTCCTCTCATCAATTGGAATATGAACAAGATCAATAGGAACACAAGGATTAAAGCCATATACGACCTCAAATGGTGAAAATTTTGTAGCCCCATGCACACTATGATTATATGCAAACTCCACAATAGGCAAACAAGTATCCCAACTCTTCAAATTCTTATGTATAACAGCTCGTAACAAAGAAGAAAAAGTTCGGTTTACTACCTCAGTTTGTCCATCAGTTTGTGGATGACACGCCGTACTGAAAAGTAACTTCGTTCCTAGCTTTCTCTAAAATGTCTTCCAAAAGTGGCTTAAGAACTTTGTATCACGATCAGAAACAATGCTTTTAGGAACTCCATGCAAACGAACAATCTCTTGAAAGAACAAATCAACTACATGTACGACATCGTCAGTTTTGTTACAAGGAATGAAATGGGACATTTTGGAGAATCAATCAACCACAACCATTATTGAATCCTTTCTACACTGTGTTCTTGGTAACCCCAGTACAAAGTCCATGCTAACATCCATCCACGGTTGCTCTAGAATAGGCAACGGCATATACAGCCCATATGCATTCTCTTTACCCTTAGCTTTCTTGCAAATATCACATCTCTCAATCACCTTGTGCACATCCCGTAACATGCTAGGCCAAAAGAAATGTTCTTTCAGCAACTCATAAGTCTTCTTCTCCCCAAAGTGACCACTAAGACCACCACCATGAGCCTCTCGTACAAGCAACTCCTGTAATGAACCTGAAGGAATACACATTCTGCCCATTTTGAACAAGTAACCTACATGCATAAAGAACCCATCACAAGCTCCCTTTGCACATTCGATAACCACATTAGCAAAGTAGGAATCATTAGCGTGCTGATTCTTCACCTGTTCAAAACCCATCAGCCTTGCATTCAACATAGAGATCAGTGAATACCTCCTAGAAAGAGCATCAGCAACCATATTAACTTGCCCTTTCTTGTACTTTATGACATAAGGAAATGACGCCATAAACTCCACCCATTTAGCATGTCTTCGATTCAACTTGCTTTGCCCCTTAAGATACTTCAAGGATTCATGATCAATATGAATAATGAATTCTTTTGGCAACAAGTAGTGCTGCCATACCTCCAGAGCCCGAATCAAAGCATAGAACTCCTTGTCGTAAATAGAGTAGTTCAAACGTGCTCCATTTAACTTTTCACTGAAGAATGCAATCGGCCTCTTTTCTTGCATCAAAACAGCCCCAATTCCAACTCTAGAAGCATCACACTCTATTTCAAATGTTTTAGCAAACTCTAGAAGTGCTAAAACAGGAGCAGTACACAACTTTTCTTTAATTAGCTCAAAAGCTTTCTGCGCCTTTGCACTCCATCTAAACTCATTTCCGTTTTTCAAGCATTTTGTCATGGGAGCAACAATAGAGCTGAAGTCTTTCACAAATCGCCTGTAGAAAGAAGCTAAACCATGAAAACTCATATCAACGATACTAGCAGGTTTTGGCCAGTACCGAATTGCCTCAATTTTCTCCTCATCAACCTTAACTCCCTCACTAGAGA